GGCTTATTGAAATATTATAATCACTGCTTGAAGTGGGGCAGTACGCTCCGGTATGGAATACCGACACCTCAACATTTTACTCTATGGCGTACCGAGACTTCTCCCAAGCTGCCAGTACTCTCCTCTGCCCTCTCCATATCAGGTTCTCTGGGCGCTACGTGACGCTCACTTGTTCCCGTTCTCGCCTGCCTGCTAAACTCTGTCGGTGGAGAGACGAGGGAGAAGAGAAGCTCGGGTGCCTTTCAAGCAGCCGTGTGCTGAATGTAGTTCGTCAATGTCACTTGTCGTGAACTGACTAATCACAGCCTGGATGGGGCGGGACATTTAAAAATATAGACAGATAGGTGTCACTTACATTGGGGACGCTGGGGACATGTCAGAATCTGAATATCTCCATCACTTTTTGAAAGCTTTTGTTAAAAATGTTCTGAACAACAGCAATAAGAGATGTTGAATAACAAATGAAACAATGGACAATAAGAAAACATGCAATGCAATTGAAATATAGAAGAAACAAATCTGCAGTGTCCAAAAGCTGATTACCGCATTAGATTCCATTATATTTTGAATGGTCACCTGCCACCTTAATTTTGTTCCCCTTCATATAAAGCCAGGCATTTCCACCATAAATTTTTTGTCCAACAATTAGCTGTGCTGGGATTCAGCTGTCAGCGCAGTGGACCGTTTCATGCCATTACCAGGGGTTTGACTTGTTTGCAGCAATGAGTGCCCTGTCCAAGCCTCAGCCTATTCGTAATCCTGTGTCTGGTCGATTAGGGCTGCACCTAACGATTATTTTCATTGTCTGTTATCTTCTCAATTAATTGATCCGTTTGAGCTTTTTGGTCTCCAAACTGACCGAAAATGCTGAAAAATGTCGATCAGTGTTTCCCCAAGCCCAAGACAACGTCCTTAAATGTCTTGTTTTGTCCACAACCCAAAGATATTCAATTTACAGTCATGGAGGAGTAAAGAAATCAGAAAATATTCACATTTAAGAAGCTGGAATCAGATAATTGACATTTTTTTCCTAAACAAAAAGACTCAAATCAAAAAGCCAATCTGGGGGACTAATCTATTTAATACTACGCGATGCGCCAGCAGTGCGCTGGTAGATCTGAACATCTTGCTAGGAAAGCTAGGAGGGGGCTAACAACAAGGTGTCAGCAGTTTGGAGGTACTTCACACTTGCTACGTCATTAAGTTCTATAGCTACTTGCAATATCTGCAAAGCCAATGTGTCGAGGGGTGGCGGTAGCAGTACAAAATATTGCACAACCAACATAATCAAGCTAGTCCAGAAACATCAGGACATAGAGCGAACAGCTTATTCATTTTACACTGCTATCAGATCAGTACACGGCATCGGCCAATACCCAAAGCCCAGGTATTGTTATCAGTATCAGGACTGAATAAAGTCAGATCAGTGAATCCCTAATCAAAATAGCTGGCGGAAGTGGAATTTACTGAAAATTCAGAGCTGATGGTTTGGACAACAGTATGCGCTCAACAGTTTGTCAGGATAGTGTCAATGATACCCCTCCCCACTCTCACTTTCCACTGTTCTCATTTAGATAAATTAAGCCTACCTGAGAAGTGCTGTCCCATATTTTCATTTGAAGAACAGTACAAAAGCAGTGTTCATTCTTTGGAAACCATTGAAGACAACAGAAAATCACTGACAAGTGACAATTTTTCTGTGAGTAATTTTTATTAAGCTAGTGCCTAGTGTCAGGACTATCTTGCTCCAGGCGTACATCAACATAAAGGTTACAAGCTCACAAAGTGAGGGGCAGCGTGTGATCAGGTCAGGAAAAACCAACAGCAAAGTTCTTTCCAGGCTTTAGACCGCTAAGCTGTGTTATCCAGCTACAAAGCAGGGAAATAGTGCTTAAGGATTACATGGTGCTGGATTGTTGTGTACATTTTGAAAACAAAAAATAAAAGTTTTTTTAATGAAAGCAATACATCATGGGTGTGTGGGAAGGGGCTGCACTTGCTCATTAGAGTATTCCCCAAGATTTCCTGTCTTTTTCACTTCATTGCAATGCCACCACATGTCCAGGTTATATTAGTGTATTCAATTTGGCAAAACTTATTATTGAGACTAATTCTTTTTTTAAAGCAGGTGCATCCTTAAAGGGTAACCTCTAAGATCCTGACTGTCACACCGTTGCTGTAAACTAAATAAGCTTTTGTAAACATCTTTAACAAATACTAATTGTCATATTCAAATAAAAGTAACTTTTATGGTTAAATTTATTTAAAAAAAATACATATATAAAAGTAAGTAACAAAACTAATGCCCAAAACTGATAAGCCCACTGATAAATCTTTGAGCTAAATATGAGCGAGTCCAGATCTATTCATAAAATCACACCTGCTTTATCTGCACAACTCACTTTAAAAGTACTGAGGTTTAATTCTAAGCCCTAATCGCATCTGTGTAAAACTGGAGGGAGGCTTTGTTATGTAACTTTCCATCCCTACTGTCCTACTAACACTGCTGCTGCCATGTCCCACAAAACATGGTCTTACATGCTGAGCTCCTCCAGTAAAGTATGTTGCTCTGTGACAGCATAGAATGATTTTCTTAGTCAAGATTTTTTTAATAACCAACCACCTAATTAGCAACACCATTAAAAGGGTTTTCAGAAAAGGTACTGGGGGGAAAAAAAACACATTTTGGTAGAGCAAAGTACAATTTTTAAAAGTGCATATTCATTTATTTACCCATATAAAGATGACACCTTGAGGTGGGCAGTGTGGACAAAAGCAGTAAAATTCACAGGGTACGAAAATCTAACTCTTGATAATTCAAGGACCATCAAAAGACAACAAACTAATCTAAATTAAATGTGGAAGATCTGGATCAAATATTCTATTACAGTTGATGTAATTTTTATTGCAAGATTGATATATAGCATAGTACAGGAACTATAATTGAGGAACTGTTTACACATAAAATAACACAACGGGAAACCTTTTTCTGGCAAAATTAAAAACCCAACAAATCAAAGCACTTCATTATATTGATGCAAAAAAAAAGGGAATCCAATGTTGCAATAAAACAGTCCTACTTACTGATTTGTGACAGGATATATAACAGTGACAGCTGCATTGTATAACTGTTATATCAAAGAATTAGTCTTCGAATATACATCATCATATCGCCCAACCCAACGTTTTGTTACACTAAATGTCATTTTAATACAACATTTCATTGGAGCGTTTTAGATTATTACAGCTTGTAGTGTGGTTGTTAATGTTACGTTAATTCAGGATGAAAAACAATAGAAAAAATAGCTAATTTAAAAATATTATATTATTATAACACACACAGTGTGGCAGGACGGCTAGAGACATTACACAGTACTGGCCGAGACAAAGGGTCTTTCTAATAACAAAGAACCAAAGGGGAAGTGAAAGCAACAACCACTTTTGACTACTGTAAGCTGGTGATGACCAAACATCAAATGACTGCAATATAATTTTCTTAAGAAAACACTGTGGTAACAGTGAGATGGCTAAATGTACAAACCATTGTGCTTAGAGGCAAAATACGCATGCCAGAGTTGCCAACAATAACCGAACATCAACAACAACCAACAAAATTGTGTTTAACTTTTAACCCTAAATTCGAGTGACTAATGTTGGGTTAGGGTTTACACCCGGAACAGTTTTTACAAAAAAAGCTAGCAGCGTTAATGTCAAGCAATGTCAGATAGCTACAGTCCTCTGTCGTAATACACATCAATAAATAAGTGTGGTCTGGTGTAAAAGGTGTGCAGCTAGCTACAAAAACAGAGTGTCTTGTACCCGTGTTAGCATGATGCTAGCTGGCTTGTCGTGGGTGTTTACCTTTATTTCTGCCTGGAGGTTTATCTTGTCCGGGAACTTAACTGCTGGCGTGGACATCGCTCTCCTTTACTACGCGTCGTATCGGGGAACATGAACAACACCAAAAATTTTGGATGAACTTCATACCGTTTGAACGGTGGGTACGAGAAGATGTTACAGTTTAATCCCCTCCGCTAGCTCCTTCTTTCATGTGAGAGCGCAAACTTCCGCCACATGCACCACTCTACATTCATCTTCCGATTGGACGAACAACCTGTCAATCATTCCATACCGGAAATGACTCCAGACGTAAACATATCCACGTGATGGCCATTTACTGCCTTTTACAGTCGCATGATCTGCCGGAACAGAGCAGCTAGCCTGTATTTACAGATTAATCTCAGCAGCATCAGCGCATTCTGAGATTAACTGGCAGATGAATGGAACATTAAAAAAACTATATATTTTAAATGGAAAAAAATTACATGCTCTTTTCATCAGCACAAATGTTGTCACCCTGCCTCTTCCAAAGAAGGCTTGAAAACAGCTGACACTTTTAAATCTCTAGCACCCTCTGTAGTAAATGGACTGCATCTTCTTTTTAGTGGATCCTTTGTGTCTTATTGTCTAACTCTCTGTAATAAAGTGAAGAAGTGTTTTTCCCAAAATGCTGAACTATCCCTTTACAGCTCCCAAAACCTAATTGGTCTGAAATAAGGCAACATTTGACTCTCAAATCAGATTTTACCTGATGGAGACCTTGCAACATCCTTTTGATAAAATCACTCATCAAACATCTTTAAGGTACAGATGTCCCTATTGTTAAACTCTCTTTGCTTACTAAACTACTGCTGATGTTTGGCTCCAGCGCCAAGAGGAAATGCCACAAAACTCTAGATTTGTCATCTCTTTTTTTTGTAAGTCTTTGAATGTTGGAAGAAATGATCTGGAAGTGAACTGTAATTCTATGTACTGCAGTTTTTGATTATTTGATGATTGATTGGTGATGACGAATATTTTTGGAAGTTTGCTTGTTTGCTTGCAGCCGAGAAATAGATGGGAAGATCGATACCATGTCTATGAGTTCAAGCCTTTTTATATAGATGCCAAGGACCATAGGTGAAAGTAACAAAGTTTATTTACTAGATAGCCTTCTAATAGTTACTTCCATAACATACAGCAAATTACTAAAATCTGATTACAAACTGCCCCGTGACCCTGTACGCAGGATAAGCGGTTGACGATGGATGGATGGATGGATGATTACAAACTCTCAAGATTACAAATTACAAGATTACAGTACACATAAAACACTAAAACTCTGATAACATCAAATGCCACATTGTGAAAGGGAACACTTTTATAATGAATAGTTAACCGTGTTGCATCTTTTACTTAGGTAACACTTCTGAGTACATCTTTCACTGCCAAGGGCACAAGTGAAAAATATTAATATTGTAGAAGGTTCAATTTAATCATCCATAAAATAATGGAAATTAAAGTGCTCTTTCCTAACAAGCAATTTTTGGTTACAGAAAATAGAAATAAATACCTATAAAATAAAACCAAAAATATCAACAACATAAAAATATATTTCATAATAAAAAATCTTAAATAAAAGTTGAAAGGAATAAAAAGGAGAGAATGTGCTCTGCCACAGGAGCCTAAAGGGAGTCTGCCTTTGTTTTATTACCCTTAATGGATTATACAACATTCATCTACCATTTCTATATCTATTGTAATTTGTGCTCAAAAAAAAGAAATCATTCCAACTGGCACATCTTGAACCTTGAGAAATGGAGTCACTGTTTGCTACGAGCCAAGACTGAACACAGAAACACAGTGGAGAGCTTCGGGCTTTAAAAGGTCAAATGCAAATTAGCAGTTCCCCTGTAAAACTATCAAAGAACATTTCAAGTGGGTAGTCTTTTTGTTTCCCACTAAAAGGCAAAGTGAAGAACTGACGTAAGAATGTGTCAGGGTTGGTGCCACATTTCCAACTGGAGATGCACATAAATCTGTTTACACTTAATGTTCAGTAAGTTAGTTCAGATATAAAATAACATGTGTACAAATGCTGAGATAGCTTTCTTCTTTGTGCTTTATAATGTACTCAATATATGGGCATGTATACGTTTGTACTATTATTGTTTAGGGGGGGAAGGGTTCGGTCTCTGTAAAGTCATTGATGAGAAACATTTACCACGTATTGAAGAAATCCTTTCGAAACCCAAATGGATAAACTTTAAAATTTCCACGCCAAAAGCATAATTCAAGGTTAATCAGCTTCTGTACAACTGACATTTTAGATATATTATGTTCTGGATATAAAAGCTTTGTCTTCTGTTGACCCTCCCCAGCCAACTCCTTTCCCCATGACTTTGCCTCTGACACACCCTCCTCTGTTCAACCCAAGCACCACAGAGGAACCACCAAACAGACGGAGGGTGGACGTCCTTACCATGAGGGTTTTCATCTGCTTCGAGGGCTCCTGTGAGCCTTTTGACGTCCCTCCAGATCAGACTGTGGGGGCCATGAAGCAGATGGCAAAGGTAATAATGAGCTACAGAAGAGGCCCATTGCATCAATATTTTCTTGACATGGCTTGACTTGTTCTGCATGATTTGGTCATATTACTGGAGGGAAAATAATGGGTTTATCATATCTTTGGTCCAATGTTGCTTGTAATGTTGAAGTACTATGCATTGCAAAAATAGTTTTACATATGCATTTGTGTGTGCATGTAATGACAACAAATGTCAAGAAAAAGCTAAATTTCTCCACCACATGAGACATTTTTCATTCAGCTCACACGAGAAGGCAAATTAAGCTACAGACACTGAACATGGTCTGTCAAGAACTTTGTTTCTTGGTCACAATTCAGTACATTTCCACTCTGTCCCTCTCTGTAGGATAACTTTCTTGTGCAACTCTCCGATGACAAGCAGGTCCAGCAGTACCTGGAGCTGAGCTACGGCGGTGCAGCGCTGCAGGACAGCTGGGCTCTGTGCGACGTGGGCATCACAAGTGGCAGTGCCATCCGATGCCTGATAAAGGTATTAAAACATCAAAAGGGTTTAGAGATTAGGAGCTGTGTTGGGATTTGCAGTAAATATTGAGAGAGGATGCTGCATCTTTGCTCTAGGCCTATACTTCAGAAGCTGTTTTTAAAAATGTGGTGTTGGAATTAAAATGTATTTTATTTGTGAAAAAAAAAACAACATTAAAGACTGTATGTTAATTCAGAAGACTTCTGTAAGTGAAACATTGGAACACTTTATCGCTAATTCTATCACAACTTTCAAATCAATTCAAATATTTTATGAAAGTGTAATGTCAACTCAGACGTCTTATGGACTCAATTCATTTTTATGAGATTCTATTGCCATAGACAATTATTAATTCCATGGTTGTCAGAGGTCACTTATACAACTTGCACACTCTTGGAATTTGTGCGTATTTAGTTAATTTCCTTATGTTGTGCCCACATGTTTCCCCTCACTACATACATTCACTGACAGTTTACTTCAAAAACACATTGTTCTTAATTTTTTTACTTCAGGGCTGCTAAAATTCTCATCTTGCTTACATATTCATTACTTGAGATTATTTCTGATCAAAGACATCCTTCTTACAGTGAGTGAATTTTGTCTCAAGCTCATGCACTAATAGGGAACAAGATGTTCCCATGTGAGCAGCAGCTTGGAGGGAAATTAGTTTATGTCTGTCTGAAAGCTTTAGTTTGTCCCCATTACTCAGTTTTTAGTATTGGGACACATTCCAGGCTCATCACCAGGCAAGCTTGTGTAAAAGTTGACTAAAGGATTTAACCTCCTCTCATAAAAATAGTTGTTTTATATTGGCTTATATTGTGTTGGTCCAGTTTCCCGCTCCAGACCTTTGTATGCTTTGTCTGGGTCCGTATGCTTTGACATTTCACATCTTTTGTTTATTTTAAAGATACATTTTTGGCCACTTTAATGGGTCACCCTGGTTCTTGAAACTGTACAACCTACAAAGTGGCAATTAATTTACATACTACAGTACATTCTGTCAACCACAGGGTGGCAGCAAATTCCACTTTGCTTGTGTAATACCTTTGCTATTTTTACATTAAACAAAAAGACAGATTATATGTATAAAATGATGATTAAAAATTACAACTCCTGTCACTTCAAATTCTTGTGTTTACTAGTAATTCAAATATTTGAGTTGTGATGTAATGCTCAGTACATGGTGGTCATGGAATGCCTTTCATCCAATCACAACAGTTATACAAACAAATGAAATATAATTAAATTAACTAAGAACGGCGCGGCGGTGCAGTGGTTAGCACTGTTGCCTCACAGCAAGAAAGTCGTGTGTTCGAACCTGTCCCGGCCTTTCTGTGTGAAGTTTGCATGTTCTCCCCATGTCTGCGTGGGTTCTCCGGCTTCCTCCCACCGCGGACTAGGTTGGTAGTGTGAGTGTGACTGGTTGTTTGTCTATGTTTGTCCGATGGACTGGTGACCTGTCCAGGGTCTGCCTTTCGCCAGATGTCAGCTGGGATTGACTCCAGCCCCCTCCAGCCCATAGGATAAACGGTTGACGATGGATGGATGGATAAACAAGTCAAGATAAAATAGGTGAAAATAAAAATAGGCCTGACACAGTGCTTTACAATATAAACACATACAAAAGTTGAAGAAAAAGATAGACAATGGCATCACACAGGTGGTTTATGACAATCAATATATAAAACAAAAAAATATGCATCACACAGTAAAACCTTTATTGTAAAAATGTGTCTCAAAAAGTGAGAAAAAACAGGAATGGACTCGGGGGGCTGGATCTCCTCTGGCAGATTGTTCATGAGTGTAGGAGCCCTGACAGCAAAGGCTGAAACTGACTCATGTACCTTTCACATATATTCAGTGGGCTGTGATACTTTTTAAAACAAACACAGGGATTCATCTTGTGACTTCAGTTACTATTTTGTCTTATTAACTGCAAGGCCACTGTGCAATTACAATTCTTTTTCAGAGTGAACGAAGGCCTGTGATGCATGTGTTCAATGCTGTGACAGGAGAAACCTTACCAATCACGGGAAGCGAGGCTCTTCTGCATATGTCGGTTGCTGGATTGAAAACTGTGGTGTCCATGCAAAGCTGCCTGCCTGTCAGCACCTTCAGACTGAGCACCCCTGCTGGTGTGCAACTCTATGACTGCAACCAACTGCAAGACTATGCCATTGAACTCGGTATGGCCTGCTTTCTGTCTGCTGCAATATGATTGATGTGTGTAGTCTCATAATGAGTGCTGTGTATACCTAATGATTTAAAAATGTGTAAATAGTCGAGCGACATTTTAATTCATTCACTGACTACAGTTAGATATCATATTTTTTCTGGGCTTTTTGTTTTATAATGTCTCCAATGTGTGCTAAATGGAGTTTCTTCTACCTGTGTCTCTGTCTCACTTTCCCCTGTAACTCAGTGGGTTTTTCTCAGTGCTGGTGTCTTTAATCTGACTTTTTGAATGGTTGGAACATATTTAAAGTCAAATGGGCATCTATTATTGTTTTTAGGTTTGTAAGGTGAAAAAAGGCTATATTGTTTGCTGTCAACAACTATAGTAATGCTCACATTACTTGACAGGTTTCATTTGCTGCGTGGCCAGTGTCAACAAGGTATGAACCTAAAAGCATATGATAAACAAAATCAATAGTTTTAACCTACAGATTCCCTTTCATGTCCACTGTTTCAGATTTCATTACAATCTCTCCGTCTTAAAGCCATGCAGAGGCGAATTTGACGTTAAAACAGAATTCATCTATTTTGAAATACATAGATTTTTTTTTTTATTGAACAAAGGCACTACTCTCCGTTTGGACACATGGGATGGGTGGGTGGAGTTCCTCCAGGGTTGCCTCCTGGGCCACAGAATGACAGTCCAGAGCCACCTATCAGAGAAGAAGCCAGTAATGAGGTCAGAAATTCTCTACGTGAACCAAAGTGATAATCTCACACACAAAAGTCAGTCTTTGACTTCAATCTATTGTCCTGCTTTTCTAGATTTCAGCTGCAGGTAGCACTCTGCATTGCTGCCTCTTTAGGCCACCTGGATCTGGCAGCCTGGCTGCTGAAGAGGGGGATGCATGCTGAGGAACCAGTGGGAGTCCATCCGTTTCGCCAGTGGTGCAACCAAACCGCTCACAGAGACACTCGAAAGTGCCCCATCCACATAGCTGCAGAGAGCAGTCAGCTCCTCATCCTCAAATTATTTATCACCAAGAACCTTTTGACTTTGTCTTGTCGGGACCCTGGAGGTCGTGACCCTTTGAAAGTTGCTATTCAGTGTGGTCACAGGGATTGTGTGCGCTACTTAGCCAACAAGCTGTGCTCACTAGTATCCCTACCAAACATGTCGCTGCCCATGCGTCTCTACCTCCAGATTAAACACTGGGTGAGATTGGGACAGAAAAGGGCAATCTCCAATCAATGCCAGCACACCAGCACTGCCCTCAAAGCCAGGGTGGGTGATACGTTGCTGGTAGATGGCTTCAACCATCAAAATATGTCTTCCAAATCCAGGAAAGCTCTGATCAAACCAAGTAGAGGAATCAAGGCCAAAGCTTTGCAGCCTTTACCTCCCATCAGCAACTTACTTTCAGCATCACACCTCACTTCCAAAAGGGCACTGCCCCAAATACCCAGCCTGCAGTCTGTGAACCCTAAACAGAAAAAGCAGAACCAAGATGTGAAAAGCGGCCAATTGGATAAAATCAATATTGAAGACAGAAGCTTATGCAGGGGCAAGTTTATACTCCCGCGATAACCAGCAGAGAAAGCATTCCCAGGCCGGTATTGGTGGGTGCATCACCTAAATCTTCCCATATTCTGACTGAGTCTTTGGAGTCCTTCTCTCACCACTGTGCTGACACACCAAGAGAAAACGCCATATACTGCTTGACTATAGCCAGGTCTTTATCCTTTGTAAAGTATATTTTCATGTGCAATAAAAACACATCCTAACGGGTCTCATAATTGCCATCTTATTTGAGGCACAGCAAAGATTGTATATCAGGGATCCAAAACATGTTTTACTTGAAGTCAGATTATTTTACGCCACATATCAATTTTGTTGTATGTAATTCAGTTTGTTACCAGTTGCTAATTCAGTTTTCAGATGTACTTTTGTGTAAGCGGCACATGTAGAGTAACTAATCTAAAGTAATTAAGTTAAATGTGCTGTAGGGGCTTTTACATTTTACATTGTGTGCTACATTGCTGGATTTGGTGGGAAATCTGAATATCTAAATAACTTGATGGCACAACAGGAGATTTGTACTATACAAATCAGGAAGATGTTGCTCTGAGGTAATGTGTAAGAGAAAGGAAACATGTGGAGAGATGGCAGAAGTGTTCATTTGGAGGAAGACCTGCACTAACTGACATAAAGATAAAACAGAGAACTAAAATACTGACATAAAACAGATTGATTGTCTCATTTACACACTGTAGTTATATACCAGAGTTTCACAAATAATTGATTAATAATTGATAAGGACTATTAATCAAATGGTACACCTGACAGTTTATGTTTACTGTGTGTAATACATGTTTCTCTTATACAGTACGTTCACGGAGAAGCCTTGGTTGAAGCAGCTGAGCATAGCACGAACCCTGATCAGGAAACGTGTCCACACCTTGGCAGAATGCCCATCCTGATCTTTCACCAATCAGCCCAACTGCCTGTGGACCTCCCATCGACTGCCTGACACACTGTGGACAACGAAGAATCCTTCAGATTGACAACTGAGGAGTGTATCTAAACCTGTCTGTCTTATGTGCTTAGCAAAATCTTTGCCTTTTATTTGCTCGTCGCAGAAAGAGAGATAGACAGACATTATGACTATAGAAATTTACTTTTTATTTTTTTTAACTTACTGACAGGACATGAAATGATTCATGAATGTAATGTATTTGACAAAAGTCCAAGTAAGGACAAGCCTAGTTAAAATGACTTGCCATTGGTTGAAATACAAGGCTAAGACCACAAACATACAACAAACATAGCCTACTTCACATTTTCAATAAAGATTGAAAATGTAAAGCAGTAGTGGAAAACAAATAGTGATTAGAAGAAATGATGAGTTACCATAAACAAGAGTTACCACATATTTTGTAAAAATATAAAGTATAAACTAGCTGTCAAATGTGTTATGTTGTGCTTTATGCCAGGTAGAAATAAAGTATCACCAGTGAAAGATCAAAATTCGATTCTCACAGGAAATACAGTAGCATTATTAATCTAGTAAACATACACATAAAGCCCACAAGGGTAAAAAAAAAAAAGAGTAAAATACAGAACAGTTAGCCAAACAGTAATTCAAAGCTAGAAAGTTGTATCAGCAACGCATTAGCCTCAGGCAGCTTTCTATTAGTGGCTAGCTTGGTTTATAAACCTTTATATAACAGGAACACAGTCTCTTTCACAAGGGAGTCCTGTATAGCACAAGTAAAACACAATTTTTAAACCATGAGTTGAAAAACAATACATTACGACTAACATTAAGCTGATCATAGAAGAAATAACAATATTCGACCAAATAAACAATAACAACAACTGTAATAAAAACAGCAGTTATTATTTGGGGAGTAGATGAAAGATGTCTGTTGATATTTGATTGGACAGTGGTTTGACAAAAGGATGTAACCCTGTGCACACCTGACTGTACTCAAACTGTTATCTGTGATTATCACAAAAAATCATCTACATCTACAAATCTGTCTACACATGTTTTATGTGTGTGCCTAGATTACCAATCTTTCATAGAGTATAGCCCTCTATCACTGAATCACAAGTCCTTCACCAATTTTTCTGCTTTTCTGGTTCTGTTTTTCTTTTTCTTTGTTTTTCTTTGTCAGTGAAGACTATTTAAAAAGCTTAAAGTGCTCTTTTGATCGTATAGTCTCACACGACTGATCCTCAGTTAACAGGGCCGATTAGTATTACAAAGGTTAGAGTTCCTGTTTTCTCTGCTGTTAACTTGTTGACAGGGTCCCGCTGTTAACCGCTTTTACCAGAGTTTGTAGCGTGGACAATCTGGATTTACAGAGACGACTGTATCTAAGGAATAAGGATTGGAGTCCCTAAGTAAAAGACTTGTACAAGCAAAAAAAAAAAGAAGAGGATAGAAAGGGAGATGGGGAATCCATCCATCGTCAACCGCTTATCCTGCGTACAGGGTCGCGGGGGGCTGGAGCTAATCCCAGCTGACATCAGGGGAAAGCGGGGTACACCCTGGACAGATCGCCAGTCCATCGCAGGGCCACACAAACAACCAGTCACACTCACACCTAAGGACAGTTTAGGGTCACCAATCAAACTAGTCGGCATGTCTTGGACGGTGGGTGGAAGCCGGTCCGGAGCAGCCGGAGTGAACCCACGCAGACACGGGGAGAAGATGCAATGGAGATGGGGAATGGAGGAGTAAAATAAGCAAAGGTGAGAGACCTGATTCTTCCTCATCCTATCATGCAATGTATGCAAAAGAATTATGGTGAAGACTACAAAACCATTAGAATTATGGGTGAATGAATTCGGATGAATTCGGATTATCCACAGTAGGGGGTTTCAATAAGAGACAGCTACAGCAGGTAGAAGAAAAGGGTGATTCTTTTCAGGATCCTGCTTTTATTTTCTATTTAACTCCGTAAAAAAATTTTTATATTTCCCTATTGCTTTTATGTTTTATGTAAAGGACTTTGAATTACCTTGTTGTTGAAATGTGCTATACAAATAAACTTGCCTTGCTTTCCATCTTAAAGTAAAAATAAATTCTTAATTTTTATTCACGTTTTGCTTAACTTACAGGCTGATTTTAATATTTGACATTTGGCTGATTACTACTGAATTAGTTCCCAGGTCACTCAATACCTGATGCAGTGCATGCGTTCAGATAGTAGCGCCAAAACACTTTTAATGCTGGCTTGGATACAACTTTAATTAACGTTTTCAAAAGATTTTGTCCCAGATGCTCTTTTCCTGAAAATAATTTCCTGATGGAAGTGCCTTTGAGCAAAGCGGTGGACAATGATGCAAGGTGAATTAACATCAATTGAAACTGAAATCAAACTTGGCTCAAAAACAATGCTACTATTGTATAACCTGAAAACTTAAATTGTGGGACATTTTGAAATTAATTACAACTGTGCAGCATTTCTCTCCTAACAGGACAAGGGCTGACAAACATTTGATGCATTCATTCCTTCATTCGTAATAATTTAAGACAAAGTTGCCTTTACTACTTTAAGTCCAGTGGTTCTGAAATATTCGAGCACAAAAAGGCAGCATGTGTTATTGTCACAGAACTGTATGAATTCGCGTTTCAGAATCTCGCGATGTTGTGAGCCGACCCGCTAGTAGTGCTGTTGCCCCGCCAGTGAGTGATCAACCAGAGAGTAGACATGCTGAACCACTAGTTCACGTAGGATCCTGCCTGTGGTTCTCCTTACTTTATTGAAGAGTTATGACGGGGAGCATGTTTAAAACCGAACCTGTAACGTTATTTGGTAACTGATTAGCAGAAATCACAGAATCATAAAAAAACAATTGGAGAGAACTACTTGAGCCAGCCGGGTCTGACAGGGTGTAGGAATGGCAGCTCCCCGGCCGATAAAAGGCATCCTGAAAAACAAGAACAGCGGGGCAAACGTTAAATCGCTACCCGAAGACGTCCGGTCAGAGAGTCCTGAACAAGCCCCTGCACTCTCGGAGGATGACCAACAGTAAGTTTTCTGCTTAATTTAGATGTGAGCTTGGTAGTCAGGTGACGTTAGCTAACTTAGCTAGCGAAACACTTGTTAGCCTCTCTAACGTTACTGTAACGTATAAATCTCTGTGGCTGTCAGTGTGAGTCAGGAGCGTTTGCTGTCTGTATGAAAACTTTCTGGTTCATTCATCCAACAACCAGAGGCTCTCTCCTCCCTGATAAAATATTAATGGAATGAGTAAGTTAACCAAGAGCTAACGTTTATCTCTTAGCACCGTCTGTCAGGTTAGCTTGTTCGCTAGCCAGTAACAGTTAATGTCAGACCCACGACAGGTAATGTGGTTGTGACGGTCGGTAACGAGTGTTAACGTTGTTATTAGTCAGAGACTCTCACCGTCGACTTACTTAACTTAGTGGTAATTAAAAAATGTGGGTAATTATTGTTAAACAGTGACAGCCATCAGGGAACTATGACCATATTAGGGCAAACCATTAACACCAACTTAGACAGAGGTCTTGCTCAATCTAATGTACATAACTTTACAGTAAGCAAGGTTATTGTTTACCTCCTATTGACATGTCCTCATATTACCAAACATTACCTGCCCGTATCAATAGTTTGACGCCATTATGTAAGTCTTTAAAAATCCAGCACTATGTTAGGAAATGATTTAAACTAACTTAGGGCTGAACAATTAATCGAAATCCCAATATGCCCTACTGCAATTTTCAAATGGCAGGCAGGAGGTGCAATATTTGTTAAAGGCAAAATGTGTATCAAAAATAAATTAAATATTGTCGTGCTGCAGAGATTTGCTGGCCGACACATCATATTCTACAGACTATATTTGGTAAAGATCCAAATCACACCATAACTATTTAAATACGTTTTTCACTGAAGATGAGAATAATTACTGTATGTAAAAAGTATCATGCCCTATTGCAAATCATATCATAATTGCAATATCAGTAAAAATAATCAAAATCATTTAGCCCTAATTTAAACCACGCCCATCAAACACTGAAGATGTGCTTTCTTCATATGAAAAAGATAGCATAATTTGTAAATAGGGCTGGGCAATATGGCCAAAAATGTTATCATGATAACAAATTTTACATCATTCAATATCAATAATTATCATGATAAATGTCATCATTATTTTTTTCCAAGTTGAAAGACTGATTTTTGCTCCTTAGTGAAGTTAATTGTGGTTTTAAATTATTCTTGATGGTCAGAATATGACAAACACTTGCCAAACAGTGGATCACTTCACAAATCTGAGGCAGGTAACATTCAAAACAGTTATTATAATATCTTTTTTCAAAAACTATGCATAAAATAAGTGAAATCTATTTTCAGTCCCTTTTCCTCAGCAAAACAAATATTTTAATAGAAAACATAAGTGCTAATTCTTTCGTGATTCAAATTTAATTGAATCAAACATTTATTGAAAACTTGTTATATTGTTATTGAGGAAAATTATATTGCGATAATTATCATTATTGTTTTATTGCCCAGCACTGTTTGTAAGAGGAACAGGGTATTAAGCAGTGCATGGTCTGCTATAAGTTACATGAGAGTGATCAAGATCTAGGCCATTTCCAATATAACTAAAAGGCTCAAAAAATTTCAGGGTGTTGACACTGAGCTTATTGATGAAGCTTAAAATTAAACATGTTAAATAATATGTCTTGCTCAAAGCCTTTGACCAAGCAGACCTGGGTGTAGCCCATGTTATGGTCCTAGTCTGTTTCAAAAGAGTGTGGTGGACTAGACTATTCAGATCTGATCATCTTACACTCACCTCTGCTTTAGTTCTTGTACAACCATCTCATAAGAATGCTGTTGAATATTATTAATTATCATTATAACTGCTCTCAAATCCCCATCACACATCTCATGTGCCCTGTACTTTGGGACCCTATTGGACTGTCAGAGGACATCTCACATTGCTCAGCTTAACTTCCATCGTGATGTTGGCCAGGATGATTGATTGGCTCATTCATCCACTCGCAGTAGAGGATGCCTGACAAAAATATCAAACTTGTTCGATGGCAATGGGGACACCCGCTGAGGTCAAGAACATTGCAGGGCAAATATACTGGGGTATGGCAACAGTGTCTCAGTTTAGCGAGTTTACAGAGCTAGCTGCAGATTGTGAAAACTTGTCTGGGACTGCTAAATCAGCTGTTCTGCTCGTTTAATAGGTGCTCTGCCTCGGGGTCGGGCTGACAAAAATTGGAACTTGGTTTCTCTCTCTGGAGCCTTGCCTTCTCCTATGCATTGATATTATTGACACTGACACTTTTACTGTGGCAGTGAGACATAACGCCCAGATCACCAGCTCCTGTTAAGTTACTTCAGTGCTCGGCTTTTCCACAGCCACTTTTCAGTCTCCTCTTTGCCCCCTGGAAACTCCGGATAGTCAGATCTTACCAAAGATGGCATTATATTGGAACAAGTTATGTAAATTATATATTCAGGAAAAATCATGCCCTTAATTTTTTATTATAAAATATTCCTATTTTCTTTGCTGTTGGGAATATCTTGCCCTGGGTTTCAAAGTTAATCATACATCAGACTATGTAAAGGAGATTTGCAGATATGAGGGAGGCTTTTTTTTCCATGTCATGATTGGTTTTTAAAAAATTTGATAAAACACAAAAATAAATTTATTTGCATAATTTTTTTATAGCTGTGGCATTATATAATTGTGGGTGGAAAAACACATTGTTGGATATTTATGTGTGTCGCTATGTATGTCATCTGCGAACATGCCTGTGAGAAACTGGGTAAAAAGACACAAAGCAAAAAACAGTGCAGCCAGGGCTGTGCAGGAAGTATTCTCAGGCTTAATGCATTGCTGGTTCAAATCCCATCTGAGTTTGAACATTTGAAAGTGCCCCTGAGCAAGAATATCTCACTGAAAAGCACATCTTCCAATCTGTTTTTAAAACACAAGCTGAAAAAATAAAGCATTATTTAAAACATGTTGCCAACAAACATGGCTTAAAATATGTTGATGTGATTAAGTCTAAAAAATAAATACACAAACATAAGAGGGCATTTAAGGCTTTACATGAATTGAATTCTGTTTGATGTACAGTCAGGGTGAATTAACACCACCCACCTGCCAAATGCTGCTAAGTCTTTGGTGCTAGATGGCGATTCTGCCCACAGTTGGGTTGGGCAGTATCATCTGTGGAATTTTAATCCCCTTTTAAAAGCATTAGATCTAATACAAATTAGGAGTCATTAGAAAAATTACATGGTTATAGGATGATGTTTCTGATCATTTAGATCTCAAGTGGGGGGGGGGGGGGGGTTAGCTAGCACTAACCACCTTCAATTTCCAGCAGTTGGGGAAAAAACAGAAAGGCTTTATATCAACAGACACGCTGTGACCTACACTGTACATTTACTGCCAGACTGACAACTAATCTTTTCTCTGCTATGCTCGCTGTCACCGTCACTTTCTGCCACCTGTAACGTAGATGTCCTTTGAAAAGTGAAGAGAGGGAGCTGCTTTGATTACATTACGCTTTAATTACTTGTTTAATGAAATGTATGGGGCTGATTGTTCTTATGTTGTATATATGATGCTTTGGCAATGTTGTTATTACATTCTTGCCAATAAAGCTAATTTGAATTGAATTGAAAGCTAGCCAAGCGTTGAGTGTTGCTTGCACAGTGTGTGAGTGAAAATCATTAGTTGCACATGATATTAATGATTGTGTGAAATCTTAGTTGTGGCGGCGGCACACTGGTATATGTTATGTGCACGCCACATACTGTCCGCTTAGGTGCTGCACTTCCAAGTTCCACCTTTGCATTCCGTCAACATTATGTTACCAATTAACATTTAGAAAATGCCTTGCATTTTTGACGTGTAAAGCAATTCTATTTTTTTCCCCTATCCCCTAGAACTCATTCTGGCTTTCTTTTTGTTTCTCTGCACAACGTAAAGCAGAAACAGGGCATCAGTATCCATTTTCCTAAGCTTCCAACACAGCTGGAGTGCACAGAGCATGGTTGGGGCCACAGAACGTTATTGTTCATGAGTGTGGATGCTCACATCGGTATAGTTACCATTATTGTTATGGTTCTTGGTGTGGAGGGCCCTTTAGTAACAGTCCTCTCTGAGCTGCAGAGTGAGAAATTAGGCCATAGAAGGATGGCAGTTATTATTCCATCCATTTCCAACAGTGAATCAAGCCTTTTCTGTGTTGATACAAAAATAGTCTTTCTCGGAGTGATGAGGAAGTAGAGGAAAAACAGTTTTCTGGAAGAATCCTGTGTGCAGCCAAGCACCAAATCCACAGAGAAAAACAAGGGCTGACGGTGCTGTACCATGCTGCCAGTGTCGGCCCCATGTCAGTGTTATTGTTTTGACCTACCTAAACGATGACCTTACAATGTCATACACCTCTAGTATGCTAAACCTTTGGCATAGAACATTGACTACTTAGGCATGGTCTTTTTATTAAGCTTTATATCTACCATTGTTCAGGACAGCATTGCTCACATCGGGCTTGACAACAGCCCATGTGAACATGTTTTCCTTCTTATCTGCTCCAATTGTGTGGAGCATATTGCATTGCCTTCCCAGCTCATTCTACAGTACCCGATGATATCCTGAATCACCAACCACCCGGCATTATATTTCTTTTGACAACTTTCTGTCTATGTTTAAACAATCCAGCTTCCCTCCATAGATTTGTAGGACAAACATGAAACCATGACGTAACACTCAGTGGTTGTTAGTTACAGCCTGTTTGAATTATTTTTAATTGCCTATTAGTTAGTGGAGACAACCACGATCTGTGGTAGTCAACTTAACTAAAGTAGACGAAGATGAACCAGTGAAAATACAAATAATTGTGTGCATTTTGTTACAAAAGATAGAGATAAAAAATATAAGGACTTTAATGATTCTGAAATGACATTGAAAGTGCGGATTATACAGCAACCCACATGTTCTATTTTATTAACTTGCAGCTCCATTTCATTTCTTT